GACAAGAAACCCTCACCATTAGAAATTTCAAACTATTTTCTTCTCAATTTGAAGTTCCACATATCGGTCATAACTTCTAACACTCAGTAGGTGGGGTCACTATGGGGGAAACTCAAGATGAGTCACCCTTAGGACTGCTGGACCTTAGGGTTGACCCTAGATGTTGGTCTAGGATTAAGGCACTTACTTGCAATCACTTGTACTCAGAATCACTCATTACCCTAAACCCAGAACTTCTAGGCTTTGGTCCCTTGATACTTTTGGGAGACTCCTGCAGGTGATTCCCTAGGTCCACTAGCCCTAGGCTAGGGTTTAGCTAAGACCACTACATAGAGGACCTAAAATGCGGTTTCCATTGATCATTGCTTATTGATGGTAGTTGGCACTCTAACTCTACCAAAATACCCAACCTACCTTTTTGCCCCTAAATTCCCCTAAATTACCTAGATACACTTGGGACCCCAAATTTGACCAATTTGACCAAAATCTCCAAATCTAGCCAAAATATCCAACTTGATTCAAAAATCATTTCAAACACCCAAACTACCCAAAATCCCAAAATTGTCTAAATTACCAAAATACCCCTCTTTGGCCCAAAATTCCAAAAATTCTATAAAAACCCAAAAAATTCCCAAAACCTTCTAAACATTCTCAATTTCATCTTTTTCAACTATCACATGACCCAATTTGCTAATTTAACCATCTTTGATCAAAACCCCCAAGTTACCCTTTAAAGGCTCATATTTTCCCCAAATTACCTCAAATGTCTAGCCAATTGTTCTCAATTTACCTCAATTTCAATTCTAAACCCAAATTCACCCTTGATATGACCAATCTAGACCAAATCCAAACTCAATTGACCCATTCTTTGAGCCCAATTTTAATTTAGACCAAAACCCCAATTTTGGCCCCATGACTTGGTTCCACCAAATTGAACTCATAGCCCACTCAATTGACCACAATTGATGCTTTAAACTCTTCATAACATTCCTAAACATCAAAATTGCACTTCATCCCTGCATGAAAAATCTTCACAACACCTCCCTTGATCATGTGGACCATTCAATTTGGACTTAGCCCAAGGCTAGCCCAACCTAGACCC